CAGTGGTTCTCGTTCGAAGGAGGAGAGGGCAAAATGTGTTTAGTGGGTTATTTTGTTTTGTTTTTTTTGTTTGTTTGGATTGTTTTTTGTGGTTTTTGTTTTTGTTTGTTACGTGGTGTGGTTTTTTTCTCTTTGTGGTTTTTTTGTTGTTGTTGTTGTTGTTTGTGGGTTTTTTTCTTCTTTTTCCTAGGCTGCCAATTTGCATAGGTTGTAAAAATATGGCATAGCGATTTCACGCCAATCCTTGGAGGTACTCGAAACCTGGCTCTGACCCTGACTGGAAGAGCAGGTTGTCTTTCATCCTGCAGAGCAGTTCACCCCAGCGTACGACATTCTAGTGGCCTTATAATAATGGCAACTTAAAACAATATGGAAAATTATTTTCAAATCTGTTACAGAGAATTTCAAAGGAAATACCTTCTTCCTGGTACCTCTGCTAACAACACTTCAAATACTTCCCTGCTGTTAAACAGCCCCTGAGGAAGTAAGCAGCTGGTTGCATGTTTGCTTCACCTTGGTGCAGCAGAGAGGAGTCATTTTAGTGCAAAATAAGAAAACACACTAGTAAGACAAAGCAAAAAGACTGGCTGGAAACATTCATGCACAACGCCATTATTATACCCCTTACAGAAACGCTACATCTAGAACAAGAGAAACATAGAAAAATAAGTCACAAGGCTGGCAGCTGCGAGTCTTCATGCCTCTCACATATTGGAAACGTTTTGCATCCAGCTTTGCTGGGTAAAATATATATTTTGTTGCAGTCTCCTTTCTAATGAGAAGAGATGGCTGGTTCAATAATACTACCTTGTGTTTATCTGCATAAGTTAATGAATTAAAGGGATTGTTACGCTGACTAGTCTATAAACATGATGATAAATTGTGAAGAAGTGTTTGAAGGCAACATTAAAACATTTGAATAATATCCCTTGCATTTATTTTACTGTTACTTATAATACCCCTACCATGCTCACATTTTACAAGGACAGTTTGAATAAACCAAAATTAGAAGACTGCTTTAGTGAGGCAGACAAATTTACATTTAATAAAAGTTGTAAGTGGAAAAGCAATTAAATTACAGTACATTTTAAAAAAGAATCCTCTTTCTATGTATCTGTGTTGTGATTCCTCTTAGCTTTTATTGTATGGTTGCAATTTCATGGCTAGTCCCTCACTTTCCACAAAAGAAAGAAGCAATGCATATAATACACATCTTCACCTGTATCTGCTGAACAAAACTTGCAATGCATACGTGTGTGTGTTTGTTTGGATATATGCAATTTCAGATAAGTAGAAGCATCATCATACTGTTCAAAGCAAAACAGAGTCTTCTCAGTCACCTACTGATTTAAACACTGTAACTGGTGCTTAGTTTACGCTGGCTGGCTGCCAAGCGAAAGCAATTATGTGCAATAATAGCAAAATTAAGAGATGAGTGTTGCTGTTTTACAGCAGAACATGGCAAAACCCATTTCCTTCTGTCAGTTCTATCTTGATTACACACACAGTCACACGCTCTCTTACAAGCATACACATGCGCACACATGCTCTTGTTCTTTGTTGTTTGCTGTCTTTCCTGTGGTTTTTAACATGAGGTCACTGAAACCAGAAAAGCGGAAGAGTATAGACCACAGCATTTGAAAGCAAATGAGAATAAAGCTCTCACTTAGTGGGGAAGGAGATAAAAAAGGAGCAAAACAAAAAGCCTACCCCAATTATTCTTCTGACTGTGATAATACTTTGGTTTTCTCCCACTGACAGGTGTCTTAGTGGTAAATGTTACATGGAGGAACAAGACGTACGTGGGAACACTGCTGGACTGCACAAAGCATGACTGGGCCCCTCCTAGGTAGGCAATCATTCTGAGTCAGTTTTTTCTCTGCTCTGTTCTCACACTCAGTGTCTGTCAGAGACTGTACAGCAATAATAAAAACCAACTGGTTATAATAGAAAACATGTACCAGCGAAATGAATAATTTTCTGTTCCACACTGAAATATGTAGTAGGAGTTCTTATTTCTTTCTGGTTTGTGTTTTTGAGAGGGAAATACATGGGATTCAATTAATTTTAAAATGCATTTCTGTAAGTTTGGAAAATGTTTCTCTCCATTGTTCTAACTAGGTAGTCTTGTTCTTAACATTTTTGTCTTTTTTTAATGGCTTTCCCTTTGAGACTGTAACATTCTCATTTGGAAGAAAGACATCTTTTCTTTAACATATATGAAGGTTCTATTGTTGGAAGTGGTGGTGGGTTTGTATTTATTCACTTTGCTCCTGCTGATGAAATCTGCTTTTGTTTATATAGGTTTTGTGAATCGCCAACAAGTGACTTGGAAATGCGTGGAGGACGGGGCAGGGGAAAGCGGGCAAGGTCTGCTGCAGCTGTAGCTGTACCTGGGAATGATGTGAGTTTTGCAGAGTCCAGAGGACTTCAGAATAAGAATCGAGGTGGTGCCAATGGGAAGGGGAGGAGGGGCAGCCTTAACTCAAGTGGGCGCAGGACACCCCCAAACTGTGCCATGGACGAAGTCAAAGCCAGCCCTTCATCCACAAACAAGAGGAAAACTAAGCCTCCAATGGAGCTAGATTTGAACTCCAGTTCAGAGGACAATAAATCTGGAAAACGTGTTCGTACTAACTCTAGAAGCACTCCCACTACCCCACAGGGGAAACCCGATACTACTTTTTTGGACCAAGGCTGCTCTTCTCCAGTGCTGATTGACTGTCCTCACCCCAACTGCAACAAAAAGTACAAGCACATTAATGGATTACGATACCATCAGGCTCATGCACATTTAGACCCAGAAAACAAACTGGAGTTTGAGCCTGACAGTGAAGACAAAATTTCAGACTGTGAGGAAGCACTGAGTAATGTGGCACTTGAATGCAGTGATCCAAGCACAAATTTGCTAGGGTTTGATCCACTAAAAGCACCGATGTCTCCTTCCTCCACTGCTACCCCAGGTACCCCCAGGGGAAAAAGGGAACTGACCAGCAATGGCCCTGGTTCAGTTATCAGTTCCAAAACTGGCAAGAATTCTGGCAAAAAGAAGGTTCTGAACAATGAATTGAACAGCCTTCCAGTAATTTCTAATATGGCAGCTACACTGGATAATTGCTCAGTAGCAGATGGCAATTTGCAAACTGAAATGCCAAAATTGGAGGCTGAAGGTTTAATCGACAAGAAGAGTTTGGGTGATAAAGGCAAGAAAGCGAACAGTTGCAAAGTAGATAAAAACCTTTCCAAACTGAAGACAGCCAGGCCCATTGCCCCAGCACCAGCACCAACTCCTCCCCAGTTAATAGCTATACCTACTACAGCCTTTACAACCACCACTACAGGGACAATACCAGGACTGCCCTCTCTAACAACTACTGTTGTTCAGGCTACACCAAAGAGCCCTCCACTGAAACCTATTCAACCAAAGCCCACAATTATGGGAGAGCCAAGCACTGTAAACCCAGCTCTCACATCACTCAAAGACAAAAAGAAAAAGGAGAAGCGAAAGCTGAAGGACAAAGAAAGCAAAGAGACGGGAAGCCCCAAGATGGATTCTAAGCTGGGAAAGCTGGAGGATTCAAAAGGGTCTGGGAAGGACTTAGCTGGGCATTTTTTAAAGGACCATCTCAGCAAGAGTGAAGTGCTAGCTAATGGACTGTCAGAGTCTCAAGAGAGCAGGATGGCAAGTATTAAGGCTGAAGCTGATAAGGTTTACACGTTCACAGACAATGCGCCCAGCCCTTCCATAGGGAGTGCCTCCAGGATGGAATGCAGCACTTTGGTGAATGGACAATCTACCATGGCGCCACTGCACGTGTTGACACAAAACGGTGCAGAGAGTGTGGCCACTAAAACCAACAGCCCTGCTTACTCAGATATTTCTGATGCAGCTGATGATGGTGGCTCTGACAGCAGGTCGGAGGGCATGAGGTCAAAGGCTGGCTCTCCGTCAGATATTATATCTAATAAGGATGGTGTTGTAAAAGGACATTCTTCAACCACAGCACAGTCGGCTCAAGCAAAAGAGTCCCATTCTCCCTATTACCATGGCTACGATCCCTATTATTCCCCAAGTTACATGCACTCTGGACAGGTCAGTGCCCCAGCAGCTGGGAACAGTAGTACCCCACAGGCACTCAAGATCAAAAAAGAGGCTGAGGAAGAGGCTGAAAAGAAAGAGAAGGCAGATCCATTGGATGCCAAGAAAAGCGAAAGCACTTCCTCTAGTTTGCAGCCACAGCATCAGTCAGTAATAACGCAAAGACACCCTGCACTTGCTCAGTCACTTTATTATGGACAGTATGCCTATGGGCTCTATATGGACCAAAAGTCCTTAATGGCCTCTAACTCTGCTTACAGGCAGCAGTATGAAAAATACTATGAGGACCAGAGACTAGCAGAACAGAAAATGGCACAAACTGGAAGGGACTGTGAAAGGAAGAATGACCCCCCCTTGAAGGACATTGGAAAGGATGACAACAAGCAGAAGAATATTCCATCTGCCACTATTTCAAAGGCCCCTTCAACTCCAGAGTCCAGCAAAAACAACACTAAAATAGGGTCATCTGTCGCTAACAAAGGTGAGGATGCAAGCAAATCACAGATCCTTTCCAATCACCAGCAGCAGCTTCAGTCTGACAGTTTCAAAGTCAAACAAATGGAGAACCACCAGCTCATAAAGGAGGCTGTGGAGATGAAGTCTGTTATGGACTCCATGAAGCAAACTGGAGTAGATCCAACCACAAGATTTAAACAGGTGAGATCACAGGATATGAAACAAGATTGTCTTGATTTATCCTTAAGTCATGTGAGATTTTGTCCCTGATTCTGATATGTTCTTTGCAGCCAAACAAGCTCCACCATCCTTTTTTCATGCTGGATAGTACTATAGTCTGTGAATAGACCAACAGACCTTTCAGTTGAGCTGCTTGAAAAGAATTAAAAAAAGATCTAGCAAGGTGGTGACAGAACCCAGGCTTAAGGCATGAAAAGACTGTTTAAGACTCTTTTAAATTGCATGCATGAATAAAATAGAATTAGATTTCTCTTTTAGATGTAAATTCTAAGCAATTTGCTTAGCTCAGAAATGAGAAATTTCAAGCAAAATAAGCAGCTTTCATTGTGAGAGGACTTAAAAGTAGATTTGAAACATGGTTTGAAGTGTTTCTTTTTTTGTTAAATGACAGTCGGCATTTACTAAAGATGGGTGAGCTGGCTCTTTGAAGAGTTGGCTTGGAGCTCGGCTCTTTATCTTAACCGAAGGTGACCTTTTGAAACAGTTAAGTTCCCCTTCTCTCCTCAACCAACCTCAAGCCCCTACAGACCTACACAATGGATGAAATCTTCTCTCCACTGAAGTCGGTGATAGTTTTGCCATTGACTTCAGTGGCGCCAGGATTTGATGACTGACCTTCCTAGATGTCATAGTGCCTTCGTTCAAGACAATGCAACTGTCTCTGTGCTCTGAACTGAAGCCTCAAGGCTGGATGCTTTCATGTTTGGGTGTACAGTACATCCCAGACATCATCCTTAAGGGCTGTCTTTAAAAATATGGCGGGGTCAGGTGAGTGGGAGTTAGGGAGCTCTAAAGAAAGTGGGATGGTACAGCCCTGAGTAGGAGAATATTTCTTCTGATTCAAATACTCATTTGAATCAGAATGTCTAAGCATCTAGTTGTATGCCTATGTTTCTGTTGCATGTGCTATAAATGTGTATCAACTGGAGACAGTGTTTACAATTAGCTTTTGCATATTCCATATTAGAAAAAAAAGTCTTCCTGTTGCTGCTCAGTACTGATCTGATGTAGTCTTTCAAACAGCTCACCTACCTAGTTCTGGAATATGTTTATAAACTGGTCTATATAATAAGTTATGCAAAAGTGTATTTGTGGTATCCTGTACATGTTCTTTAAAACATGTGGTCCCAGTCCTGTAAATACGCAACCCATGTGTAATTTTGCAAACTTGAAATAAGACTGTCAGATGAAGAAGCTCGCCTTAATGTCTGATTTCTACTGATTCTTAAATGTTTGTAGTATCAGAGCCAGCATTAGCATCTTTCCAGCTAGATCAGTTTTTCAAGTTCATTGTTCCAGATAATTTTAAGTGCTCTGGCATATCATTAGCCATCTTTAATTTTGTGGTTCACAGATATTTTTTGCTGTCTAGTGGGAAAATCTCTCTGTGGGCTTTAATTAAAATGTTTTATGAATAGCGTGGTTTCAGAACTGTGGTACAATGCATATGTATTTCATGATTAAACTAGTTAAATGCATGGAGAAGGATATAAGATGAAGCAATTGAATTAAGTTTTGATAATAGTCTCTTGCTCTTTCATGGGAATATTGGTTAGACTTTGAGCTCAAGGCATGCTGTAGCAAGCAAACCTTTCGTCTATACAATAGGGATATGTTATTAAAATAGCTATTAAAAATACATTAACTGAAGTGTGGGAAATATCAATATCTTATTTCAACATCTAAGTTCAGAATATTTTTTTTTTCTCCTCCACATTAGGATCCGGATTCACGAACATGGCATCATTATGTCTATCAACCCAAATACCTTGATCAGCAAAAATCAGAAGAACTTGATCGTGAGAAAAAATTAAAAGAAGACAGCCCTAGAAAAACACCTAACAAGGAAAGTTCCCTGCCTAACCTTCCTGTGTCATTATCAAGCATTAAAGAAGAGCCTAAAGAAGTCAAGCGTTCTGATTCTCTATCAGTGGATGAGAGCAAGATAAAAAATGATGATCGAAAGACTCCTGTAAATTGGAAGGACTCTCGGGGTGCTAGAGTAGCAGTTTCCTCACCAATGAGTCAGCATCAGCCATATATCCAGTACTTGCATGCTTATCCTTATCCACAGATGTACGATCCCAACCATCCAGCCTATCGCGCAGTCTCTCCTGTCCTAATGCACAGCTATCCTGGTACGTATTCTGAATTTGCCTTTCACGCGCAGTAAAGTCTGCATTTTAATATTTCTGTTAGTAGCTAGGGTAAATTAGAAGCATCATGGGTGACGTTTGTTTTGCATGTGCTTCCACTAGGGAAAGTTTTGTAGCTGAAACTGATTTAATACAAGATATTCCTTTTATGAACTGTCACAATTCCCAGCTACAGTTTTTTCACCCCTTGACAGTGTGCTATTGCTGTTAGACTGACAGATAGTTTATTGCCTATAAAAATATTCTAAGCACTTACTGTCAGAACCATTATAGTTAGTATTCTTTTCACTTAAAGAGGACCAATAAATGTCTGAAATGGCTATCAGCTCAACCCTCTTTATAACCTCCATTCATCAGGGTAAATTATCTGAAGAAATTGAAGAGCAAAGATGCTGTTTGATAGTCACATGATCCACTTTTTATGCCTCTGTCCTGACATTCCCTCCTCCCACCTTGATATAACCGAAATGTAAAAGCAGTAACTTTATGTGGTATTTGTTGTTTACCTGCAGGGGCCTATCTTTCTCCGGGATTTCATTATCCAGTTTATGGGAAGATGTCTGGGAGAGAAGAGGCAGAGAAAGTCAGTACCAGTCCGAGCATCAATGCGAAATCAACCACTGAGTCCAAAGCACTGGATTTGCTCCAGCAGCATGCCAGCCAGTATCGCAGCAAGTCCCCCATTGTAAGGCTTCATCTGTTGGTGCTGAAGAGTGGTACATATGGGGAGGGGTAGAGAACATCATTTTAAGAAGCACAGAGTCTGGCATCAAGTGTAAAATAAAAGAAGTCAGGATGCTTCTGTGGCATAAACTGGAAGTGACATATGTAACAGTTCTGTACTCGGAGTCTTTTTATCTTGAATGAATGGAGTCATACAGAAGCATAGATTCAGAGATACCTCCTGGTGTACAGTTTATTGCAATTAAACAGTAAGCTCCTGTTTGAAAACAGATCATGAAATGAGAAGTTGGGCTGTGGGATTTGGTAATACCGCCTCCCTGTATTTGCCACATCTTCCATATAGCAGATTACCAGCTGCCCTTTCTGAAAATTTCCACATGGAGCAAACACTGTTATTTTACTTTCAGATAAGGTGGGTGCTAGTTTTAATTGTGAGCAAGTTGCTGACTCTGAATCTGTTTTTAAAAGGGCTTTCTTGCTATTCAGGCAGGCTTGATTACCAGAGTGCATTAAAAAGAGCTGAGGGTTCATTTCCATCAGCTTTCAGCAGCTCAACTAGGTTGTTCATGCATTGGCAAGTCAGCCAAGCTTAAGGGAGCCCAAAACTAGAAGCCATCATGGTGGCTTCAAAATGCAGTGTGTGGCCTCAAAACCTCAGTACCCTGGAAAAATCTTTGATTAGCCAGATACATAATCTTTAGATCAAGTACAAATTATGCAGTAGAGGTACTTCTTCTTCAGAAAAAAAAACCAGCTTTATCATCTGAATTTAGAAGGTTGTTGCAGGGTAATTACAAGTGTGGTTTTACAGTGATTTTTGTCCCTTTAAAAGATTCTCACATTAGTTTTCTTTCACTTTTTATTACTAGCCTGTGGAAAAATCAGCAGCTGAGCGTGAACGGGAAGCAGAAAGGGAACGAGACCGCCATTCCCCTTTCAGCCAGCGGCATCTTCATACTCACCATCACACACATGTTGGAATGGGTTACCCCCTTATACCTGGGCAGTATGACCCATTTCAAGGTGAGAAGATTTCCAGTCGTGGGCTTAGCTTGCCTCATGGAGTTGTTACCTTGACATTGGAAACTTGCCTGCATGAAATGCTTTGAATTGAGATTGTTAAGTCAGAAGTGCTTTACATTTAGGAAGAAGGCTTGAAAATTCACAGCATGGAGTAAGAGCAAATTAATAGCTTCATGCCTCAGAAATACTAAGGGTCTTTTTTTCCAAAATTGTGTGTTAGAGCATTATTAAAGATGTACCAGTTAGGCTGTTATTCACATGAATGTTTTGATTCCTATTGCAAACTGACATTAACTGGCTGAAAGACAGTAAAAACCCCAAACCAAACAACCTTGTTTTTGTATAATTAGTATTGTGAAAGCAATGGAAGAAGTATAGCAAAGACAAAAGCTTTTTATACTGAACATATTTTATGTACAAGGCATTGCAGTCACAAGGGTTTGAGCTTGTTATAATTTGACCATCTGAAAGAGGACTCTAGATTTTGTCAAATGCAGTGCACAAAGTTGCAGTCAAGGAAAAAGCAGCACAGTAAGACACAATTTCATTCTCCCTAGGTTTTATACCAGTCTTTTTGACTGTTTTTTTCTAACTCTGGACTCTAGCTGAATTAAAAAGAGATTGCCTCCCATGCAGCAAAGTACATGCTGCCACAATTGATGGCTAAATGACATTTATTCATTATGTTCACTTGGTCCCTCAGCAGTTATTTTCCTGTGTTAAGGTCCTGACATTTCTTAGTTTGATACAGTGATTCCATATGCCTTTTGGGATGCATTGTGCTTGTTCAGTAGGAAAACTGTAAAAATTATAAGTTACTATGAAAGTATTGTATTCTGAGCAGCTGGCATGTTGTTTCCATAATTCACTGTGACTTTTGATTCTCATTGTTTCCTGGTACCTGTTATTTCTACTGAGCTTCCTATTCAGGAACTCATACAGACCACTTAGCATCATGCAGTACAGTACTTGGAAAGGAGTACAATAAGCAGAAATGCTGTATTTTCTTGTAAAATATCTCTCAAGAACAATTCAGTTCACTATATAAAGGTATATTGATCATGCTGGGCAGAGGGTCTGGAACACTGTTGCATGAAACATTTGCCATTTAGGCAGTGTTAAAACTCCACCATTTTCTGATCGTGGGGTTTTTTGTCTGTTTGCTGTAACTACCTAACATTTCTCTGAGCCAAAGAAAGCCATAAAAACCAGAAGTACATCAACATTCCTTCCTTTCTTCTTTCCCTCAGGATTGACCTCTGCTGCCCTTGTTGCTACTCAGCAGGTGGCTGCACAGGCATCTGCATCTGGTATGTTTCCTGCACAAAGAAGGTAAATAGCCAGTAAATTTTTAATTGTATACCTTAACATAGAGAGGAGAAAGCAAATCATAGATTTTATAGCTTGATGGTCTGTAGTTCCTTGTATGACACAGTTTTTACAGATGAAGAAAAAGTTGGGACTTGGAGTTAATTGTAGTTTTATTCTCTCTGAGGTGATTTTTTTCTTTATTTGTGTCCTTTAACTCCAACATAGACCATTAAGAAGGAACAAATAGTCTGTCTTCTGAGATCTTCCACAGACATGTTTTAAGGATCAGTATTAAAATAAAGCATGTGATTATGAAATACCATTTAACATCCAGATTTTTTATAAAAGGTGTTTCAAGTTCATGTTCAGTAAGATACATGTATTACCAGGAAAAAGTGAGATTTTATCTATTCTGCAAGTCTGCCTGGTTTGCTGATTTTGCTTTCAGAGAGGTACGGTTGGGAGTCCATTAGAGGTGTCATCATATTTACGTTACCTACCCATTCCATGCATTTGCGTCTTGGTTATTTACTAGGTTTTCAGCAAATTTACTCTTTAACCATCATCTTTACTCTGCAAGAGGAAAAAGGACTATTCTGTAGTACGATCCCATCTCAAACGAAAAACCCAAAGCATCCTTAACATTAGGGTTTCTTTCATCCCTGCCATATTAAACCTCAAAGTTTAATGTATTAAATAGTACTGTAACATTGCATGGTTTTGGGCATCTTTATGAAAGCTGATTCTGAAAACAAGTGACTATGTGAGGCTCTAAGCTGGAATTATTTGAGTGAGAAAGGTTCGGAGCCCAGAAAGAGCTGGTGGATGCCAGGGTGTCAGCACTTGGAGATAAATCCTGGCACAGGTTACTTGTTAGTGTGTTGTTCCTGGCAGAGGAGGGATGGAGGACAAGGCTTGCTGTCTTTCCTTCTTGAGATTGAGAGTACTGTGCAGATTTCATTTCATGGTGTATCCAAGGTGCTGAAGAAACCTTAGAGGAAAGGATACTGTGTACTAAAATGTTCTTCTTTCACTTTTCAGAGAATAATGAATTTGGGGATGTACATTGTCATGTGACTGGATCACATGAAGAAGCGCTTTATTACAGACATCAGTTCCATGGTGTTAATTTGAAATGCCTTAATGGCAGGCTAAAACCAGTCATTTCATTTTTGTAAATTGCAGATTTTATCACAGAGTAACAAATGTTGCTGTAATTAGACTTCTGTTTTTATATATATATATATG